TTTACAAAAATATAAAGGATCATAGATTTAGTATTCAAAGGCACTTTATGCTCATGAATATAAGTAGTAGACTGCATGGTCTAAAATGATCGAAACTGATGCTTTTTTGCAACATTTAAAGATACATAAGTACAAGAATATGATTTAATATGTAAAGCGTACATAATATCAGAAGAGCTTGGTGATATCAGTCAATAAAACAAAGGCTGCAAATATACTTGTATTGCTTGAAAGTTAATGTTAAGTGTGTTCAAAGAGATTACCATTGGCTAGAATGCACATTTATGTTTAAGAAAGTATTCTTGCATGTCTGTTCATCAGCATAGGAGGTGTTGAATTTCTGCTTGCATCTATGGTGTAAGCAGGTAGGTCCAGAGAATTAGTAAATAATGTCTCTTTTTAGGGGGGGTAAGCCCAAAAAAATGGAGTGAAGTTTGATGATTGTGGAAGCCATTTAATAGCTCCACCATAGCCGACAACCAGATTTCTGAGCACATCTGCCAGAAAGTATTGCACTGCCCTGACAGCTGTGTTCGTGCCAAAAATAATCGTGTTTCATGTAAACAAATATTGTGCAACAGGTTCAAGTATTTTACATTAGGTAGGTGAATTTTTACTGTAGCTGCATGTATAATTTGTCTTTTCATACCTATTGATGCTGCTTTCTTCAACCTTAGAATTGACATTTCCCCAATATTTTTTATGGTTTTAGATTGTGTAAGGTATTTCTCCCACCTTCATAATGTGGAGGTCTGCACGCTCGGCACGTATTTCAGAGTTCCATGGTTTGATTCCCAGCGAAAGCGTTTTCTCATTTTTCATCTCTCTTGCTCCAAAAATTTTGAAAGTCTCAACAATAGGATAAGCAAATTTTGCATTTTTATAATAAGGGTACTGCAGTTGGTCTCGTTTTGTAGGGCATAGTTATTTCCCTCTAGCTAGAGAGTATACTCATAATTGTAGCTCTATAGGCAGAATGAGTACATTATTCTATTTGTCTCTAAATCATTTGTACACAGAGACAGTTATAGCTGAAAATAAGCTTTACTTTTCACCAAGATGTTTTCACATTTAGTAACAAGCATTATTTTGTGTAGTGTTTGTATGTCTGATCAGCAAAATTCCTATGACTAAGAGTTATTCATTGTGCATGTAACCAATATGCTTTACTTCTAACCAAGGTGTTTTCATATTTAATCAGGAACATTATTTTTCACTTTTTTGTATATCTGATGACCAGAATTCTTAAGATTGTCTAACCAGATATAATAACCACATATTTATGTTTTTTGCTGTTTTGGATGTTAATTTAATTTACATTGGCTTTTGAAAGTTAAGCGTGCAGTGCCAAATTAATGATTTTCAAAAGCATAGTTGAATTTGAGTGGCTGAAAATCAGTGTGGAAGCAGATAACAGTATATAAATACTGTATGTTGTAGCCATTCATAATTGCTTGCGTGAGAATATGCTAATTAGGCAGTCATTGAAGACACTAGAATTCTGAACAGTCTGAGGAGGTTCATTTAAATGTTGGCACAAAATGTTTATAACTTTTGTTGGATAATTTTTTATGATATTTGTGTTTTTGTGTCTGAAAGAGGACAAATGGCAGACAGTGAGCACTGGCATACTATTGGAACCATGGTAATGTTTACTTGTGTTGATGCCATTGATGCAGGTCAGTCACTAAAAGATATTGCTCTTTTCTTTGCTGTTGATTTATTGGAAGCATTGAAGCAGGCCAGTCAATCAAAGAAATTGCTGTTTTATTTGATGTTGATCATTTAGTGATTTCTTGAATGTGGAAAAAATGCCAAACAAATGAAACGGTTGTCTGAAGACCTATGCCCAGTCGTCCATTGGTTACCGTCCCTTCTGAAAAATGAGTATCTTGCTATAGTACCCAAGCAAAATAAATGAGTGACCTCCACAGCTGTAACACCCGTGGTTGCAGTGTCACTGAACAAGACAGTGTTTGCCTGTATTGTGTGCTAAAAGCTTCACATGAAGGACATATGTGCCCAAGTATTGAGTGTTTGGTTCCACTAACTACCCAATCCAGAGAAGCGAGAATAAAGTGGTGTCATTAACATCTCAGTTAACTGTCTCAGATTGGCACAACATACTGTTCAGGTATGAACCCCGATTTGCCTTGAAATCAGATGATAAGTGTGTAAGGGTCTGAAGACAAAGTAGTGCATGGAATCAGGCCCAGAACATCATCAAACATTATGCATTTAGAGGTGGCAACATCATCATCTTCGGGTGGAAATTTCAATGAGATCACACTCAAATGCACATTTTGACAGTTTTGTGATGGCTGCACAGTATCATAAGTCCTACATGCCATTGTGACACTATGCTGCAACACTTGGTCCAATAATGCCCATCCAAACTGAGCTAGTATTATTAACGAATACCTAGAGAGTGAGGGCATTTCTAGTGTAGAGTGGTTGCAGTATTCCACAACCTTAATTCCACTGAGGAGTTTTGGGATGTCTTTGGGCATGTGGTCTCTGAATGTTTACCTCCTCCAGCCAGTCTTAGACAGTTAGGGGTAATTCAAACTGTATTTCTCCATTTTTGTTAATTTTCTTGTCACATCCTTAACCAATGTACTTAACCAAGTAGCCAGTATACTTAACGGAAGCCAATATACTTAACACATTTTTGCACACATTTTCATACTTTTAGTGGACACAAATGTGAGATCAATACAGGTCTTGGCAACAGTTTTTGGTTTATGCATATTTTCTTAGTAGATATAATAAATCTTAGTAGTAGTGACTTGCAATCTGAATTTTTGTTCTGTATTATATGGAAAACGATTTTTTTTTATATATGAATTCTGCTCTCCATTGCTATGATTAGTGATGTTTCAGTCGCTCTTTCATTGAATGTTTCAATTTCTTCAATCTGATGTCCATTGCTAGGTGTGAATTTGGTGATCAGCAAATTTCACAATTTTATTAAAACAAATATAAGAATTTTACTATGATATCATTGAAGTAAGAGTAGTGCATGAAAAATGCAGTATTTTACAAAAAATAACACAAAATTGAGACATTTTTATTTTCAGAATGTCTTTATCTTTTGTAATTGGGCAAGTTTTGAACACCTTGATTGTGAAATTTTAACATGATAATAAATGTGAATCACAGTCTATAAATTTCTCTTTAGGGAGAGCAGGGATAATGCGAATGTTCTAAATATGTTAAAAAAAAATCATTTATTTGATTTTCCATTTTTATAAGCGTATTTCCTTTCTAATTATTACAAAATATTTAGATGTGTGTTAATTTTCACTATTAGATTTATTTTGCACCTTTTTCTGAACCTTTTTCAAAAGTGTTCTAATTTCTGCTCTCACAAAGTTGGCAAGTTTGCCACCTTCACCTTCTCAAAAAAAGGATGCTTTAAATTTAAGCAGTCTTAAAGTTTATGAAATTATTACTTAAAGATGATTACATTATTTTATCCTTTTTAGTTAATAATCTCATAAACTTGGAAACTGCTGTTCTGATAAAGAAAAATGGCAATCAAGCATATCATATAAAAATAAGGAGGTCGAGTAGAATTAGGAGCATCGCCTTTATGTTTTCACCGTACAAGATTATTCTGAACAGGATCAGTGTTGTGGAATGTCTTCTTAATTACAAAACTATTTCTAGTGTAACCTCTTCACAACAGCATTTTGCTGAACTAAAAACCCTCTGCAGATGGGTGTGTCATATGTGCATCAGTCCCAAATGTCAGTAGCAGCTGGGTAATGCACTGGTGCATCGCATACTGTGATTCACTGGTGCTTTGCACTGTCTCCAAGGTGAGTTTGGCTAAGTGGCATGTTGTCTCGTAAGAGGATTAGCTGCTGATGCATATATAAGACATTCATCCTGAATGGGTTAAAGTGATGATGAGTTTGTTATAAATTATACAACCATCCATATATTTCTCACTTCTTATTATTAATTACTATATTTATTAGTATTTGAATTTAATGCCTTTTGACAGTTCGATATTTATCTTTTTTATATAATTTATTATAAATCTGCAGTAAACTTTCACATTTCTTATATTTTCTCAAATTTTATTAGATTCTGCTGATCTAACTAAAGCAATTAAAGTCACTGGAGATACATATGAAGAAGTTGGGGATCTTTATGGAGAACAAGTAAGTGATGTTTTTACAACTTAAAGGAATGTAAGTGATGTTGGGGATCTTTATTTTCATTCAGTGTGTAAAATGCCATCCTTGCAAAATTATTATTGTTGACACTATCACGTTTTAAAAACTGCTGTATGACAAAAATAGAAACATCTTGAAGCAGGTGTTGCCTATTCTTTGTTATTATGCATTATCACTTTGGAATGTACCATTTCCTCACTGCTCTAGAGTAATATTTTCTAGTGTTTTGCGGATCCATGTGAACAGCAACAACAGATATGTGAAGACATGGTCAGAAATTTTATTCAATATATGACAGTTTAACCCTTTCGTGCCTAACGGGACACATACGTCCCAAACAAATTTCAAAAAATACTTTTGGGATAGAAACGCTTCTCTGACTAATGGGAGACTTTTCCACCTGTCCTGCCAATATTTTTGAAGGTATTTTCATTCACAGAACATAGATGGCACTACCGTACATAATGCAATTCCCGTTTTTGAAGTGTTGTAGCAGCTCATTCCATACTCTACGAACGTAAATAGTTTAGTTTTGGAAAATACCGCCTATTTTCGATTAAATTTTGATTTATCCATAAATCTAAGGCCAGATAAGTTACTCACGAAGCGGATTACCTCTAATAAACTGGTAAGTGGCAAAGTTTTACTTCCGTTTTTATTATCGGGACATATGTGTCCCTCTCGTCTTGGATAGTGGGAACACATTGTCCCAACAGTCCTATGTGATCATTTCTCTAGATATTATATTTTTCGGTTACTTTTGAAATAGTTGCTTATTATTTTTAATTTAGGCACATATTAATTCAATCTAAAATGACTCGACGCCGGGGACTTACTAATGAAGAAATCAAAAAAATTTTAGAAGAGTCAGATGACGAAGATATTGATTTGGATGATGAAATAGATGATCCCGATTTTCAAGATCCAACACACAATTTGCAGTACTCATCCGATTCAGACGAGTGTGAAATGGATATCGATCATGATACCATTCCCCAAAATACAAAGAACAGCGATGCTTTGAGTGATACTGATACGGCATCACTTTCATCAGTTGATGAGATACCATCAGCTAATGCTTCAGGCTGCAAACCAATCTTATGGTTTCATGCAGATTCAACTTTCCAACCTCGAATGACAATTCCAGCAGAGTCATCGCCTAGTTTGTTATTCAACTTAAATCGTTCAGCTACCGAATTGGACGTGTTTCTCAAGATATTTCCAAAAAGTCTTATGATTTGGATCTCTCAATGCACAAACCAACGACTCGAAAAGTTAGGACAAACAATTCACCCTACAGACCCCTCTGAAATTATGCTTGTCCTTGGATGCATGCTTGTCATGTCTTACAATAGGGTGCCGAAATTCTCTCATTATTGGTCATCTAATCCTTCTTTGGGAAACGTAGCAATAAAAAATGCTATTTCAAGAGACAGATGTAAAACGTTGCTGTCGAAACTATATTTTGCTGCACCAGAAAATGCAAGTAAAACATATTATATTGACGAGGTTGTTTCGTGCCTGAAACAAACCTTCAAACAGTGCCGAAGCGAAAGCTCATATCAAGCTATTGATGAATCAATGGCGAAATTCAAGGGACGTTCATCCCTCAAACAATATATGCCGATGAAACCTGTGAAAAGAGGGATAAAAATTTGGCAGCGATGTGATTCAAAAACAGGATATGTATATGACATGAACATTTATTCCGGAAAAGAAACGGGTGAAGTTCAAGGCACACTCGGGAACGGGTAGTATCAAAGCTAACGGAGACAATCCGAGGTAAAGACGTGATGCTTGCGTTTGACCGATTTTTTACAAGCGTGCACCTGATGGAAACCCTGAAATTTCCTGCTGTTGGTACATGCATCAAGACACGCAAAGATGTTCCTAATTTTGCAACAAAACTAAGCAAAAGGGGTGAGGCTGAGTTTCTCGTAACTAAAAATGGAACATTGTGTGCGAGGTGGCTTGATTCAAAGGAAGTGATGATGCTAAGTAATTGCCACGAAGCTAAATACACAAAAGTAAATCGCACCATGAAAGATGGAAGCAAAGAAGAATTTGAGTGCCCTGTGGCAATCGAATTCTACAACAAAATCATGGGAGGTGTAGACCTTGCAGATCAAATGGCAAATGTCTATGAATTAGATCGAAAATCTTGCAAGTGGTGGAAAAAAGTATTTTTTCGCCTATTGATGAGCGCAGTGGTCAACTCATGGATTGCGTACTGCGAACTCAAACATCGAAAAACCCCACTTCTTGATTTCATTGTACCTCTTGCAGAAGCCTTGATGGCATCCGGAAAGCTCAATGCACAGTATCAACGCCATAGAGGAACTGGACGCCCATCCAAAACATCACGAAGCTTACTCAATGTTTGTGACCATCTGCCAGTAACAAACAAAAACACGACGGCAGTGCCGTAAATGTGCACAACAAAAGAAGGAATTGCGCACTAAAATAACGTGCATGATGTGTAATGTCGCATTGTGCATTGATTTTTTTCAAACCATACCATTTGTAATTAAATTTTTATGACTAGAAAATCATTGGTTTTCTTTACAAAATTACTCATTGAAGACTACTGGAACATATATGTCCCAGCGGTCAGGATTGATGGGACATATATGTCCTGGTCCTAAATCAGTGTTCAAAATTTTTCTAAAAATATAACATCTTAGTTTATAGCATTCTAGTGTGCCCTACTCATAGTTTATGTTATCAAAATTGTTCTGTTGTTTAAAAAAAAAAACTCGTCGCGAAAGGGTTAAAAAGGACTTCCATAAATATTGTACTTGAATTTTTTAAGGTGAAGAATTTTGTTAAAACTGTTTTTAATGAGGTAGTGAATTGTATGAAAATTGTTTCATCTCTGAGCATGCGAAGATTTTGTAGATATAAACTAATATGTTATATTGTTCTCATATCGCAAAGCATTTAGTCGTCAAAATACTATTTGCTTTTAAAAGTTCAAAAATTTATTTCGTTCTTGCAAAATTTACAGGGTATCTATAAATTATATTTCCATGATTTAAATATAACAAGTGCTGTTTTATTAGAACCAGTAATCACAAAACTCAGTAAATCGTGTTTCATATCTTCTGCCAAACTTTGGCAATTCTTATGGTATGGTAGTTAACGGATGTTCACTCATGCCTTTGCACCCAAGTTTGAATCTCGGGTAAAAACAATTTCGTAGCTGTAGTGCCTGCACAATGAGGATATGTAAAACCTGTTAGTCTGAAAATACATAAAGTAGGTTATTGTATAGTCTGAAAATGCAGGAAGTAGGTTATTGTATAATCTGAAAATACAGGAAGTAGGTTATAGTAGGAAGAGGGATACAAGATCCTCGAAATGCTTCTCTTGGAGTGCTCTGTATCAAAATTGAGATGGGTCTCTCATATGCTTTGCCTGAAATAAATAATGCAGTTATAGTCTAAAATTTGGGTAAAGAATCTTACATTTTTCTCTGCACCCTTACATTTTTCATTCTTTCATTAATCTTACATTTTCCTCAGTCAGCACTGAAATGTGTTATAGATCAGTAAATTCATTATCAAATAGCTATGTGGATTTTGTATCAAGTATAAATTGTCATGTATTAAATTTATTAAAGTATTTAATACACACTCCTATAATGATAAAGTTCACGTAAAAGTCATTTCATATCCTTGAAACTTATAATAATTGAATTTGACTGTTAGAGGTCAGCATAATTTGCGCAAGCAATGTATAAATCAATATTGTATGTGAGAACATGATATGTGTTGTAATGCAAATGGAGTTAAATCAGGTTTTGATCACTAGGCATGATATATTTTGAACGAAGAAGCTCGAGTTTCTTTGATTAGATACTGTTCCCTGTCACACCAATCCACCACCTTTTTTTTTTTTTTTTTTTTTTTTCTCTTTTCTTTTACTTATTTCACACTCCAACTCTGCTGTTGTTTTTTATCATGATGGTTCTCCAAGATTAATATTTTCAGACCATTCAAAGTGTACAATATGATGCCACAACCTGTTTATAACATACCAAAAGAGGCATTCTGTTAATATTTTCAGCAATGTCAGGAGCACTAGGTCAAGTACATTTGTTGTACATTGCTTCATTAGATTAATTTTTTAAGTTTAATCTACCATACACATACCATATAAACATCTACAAACTTTCTGAGGTAAAGAGCATTTCTCTATTTGGAATTTTTTCTATATAGCTCCCATGACAAGCAGTTTTAGAACAGTTTCATAAAACTCTACCTTATTTTCAGAAAATCTATACCTGGAAACACTTTTTTAGAATCAGTATTTAAAAAAATAAAGCCTGTAGCCTTATTTTCCAGACTTCTTGTGTAAAGATTTTGTTTTCAAAGAACTAAATAATTTTAGATTGTGCAATTTATTTAGAATACTCAAAATTACATAGAATATGCACAACAAACAGTATGAAGACATTTAATAATCAAAATGCATCAAAATAGTTTTTATTAACTGAAAAAAATGGTGGGAGAGCTGACTTAACTGAGTTTTCTGTGATCAAATATGTTACTGTATTAAGAACAAGTATATAAATTGACGCCAGTAAATAGGTAATTTTAAGAAACTTTTATAACTGGAAGCATTTGTTCAAGATCAATACTGAAGAAAATAAAACCTGTCATGATCTTTTCTAAACATTTTATATATATGAATTGATAAAAAAAGGGAGAAGGAGATGTAGAGGTTTAAATTTTTATATTTGAGAATATTCGGAATTGCGTAAATTACTTACAACAGAAAGCATGAAAACATTTAATATTCAAAATCCATTAAGGCATTTCTCATGGATTAAGAAATTTTTATTTATTTTATTTTTGGGGGGGGGGACTCAGCTGTATTATCTAGAATCAGATATCCTATTTAAACCATGTGTTAATGCAGTGGTCTCGAAACTTGCAGCCTCCAGGCCACTAATACATTTCAATTAGTTTGTTGCAAATAGGGTGTTTGTAATTTTAAAGACAAAGATGTGGGCAGAGCTAATGCGCACAATTGCTATTGAAGGAAAAAAGCAGAATGAATAGCTTTGGCCTTTGTCACTGTATGGGTTTTTACCAGGCCATGTGAGTAGGGTAAGGTGGGAAAGATTCCTAAATTGGTACAGACAGTAAATTTAGTTTGCAAGGCTACAGCTTGTAGCTTTTCAGTATTTTGGTTTCTAGTGTTCTGGGTTGAATTAAAAATTAGTTATCCAGTGGTTAATTCAACAAAATGGAATTATTTGAAATAAATATCAATCTAGAATTTCATATTTAGCTATAATGCATTTGAATTACAAAGTATAACCAAAAGAATTTTCTTGTAGGTACCAACCTTTAGACTTCTTATAAAGTAAATATTTTGAATTTTTTCTTTTGCATTACTATTGTTATTGTTTATGTATGTTTTAACAGCTATTTAGTAAGTGATTTTTTTTTAAAATGTTTCATATAGTTTTATTTAAAAATAAGTTCTAGCCTGTCAGGTACTTTAACATAGTACATTTGGTCCATATGCAATTTGAGTTTGGGACTGCTGTATTATTTGATGAGACAATCAGTTGAGAGTGTAAATCTACTAGTTAAATTATACCTCCATCTCAAGAGTTTTCTATCAATTGTAAATAAAGCCTAAGTATCTTGTGCATTGATCCATATATCCAGTTTTTAAAATACAATCATTTCTCATTTTATGAATACCTGCATTACAAAACCTGAGAATTGTGAATTCATCTTTTGAAAATAAGAATTGTTTAGAAACAACAAACAACTGACGTTTTATCACCAGTAACAAAAATGGTCTGCTAGCAAGCATATGATTACCCATGGCAATACAACTTGGATGCAACATTTTAATTAATAATTATAGTTTACTTCAGCTCTTGCTGTGTAAATTAACTCGTAAAGTCAAGGTATGTCTGTACTAATCATTTGTATGCTTGTGACTTACCTTGTTTTCTATACATGTTCTAATTACAACCTTAATTTGACTTTTTCTGTTAAATATGCAAAATTGAAATCGTTGAGTACATAAGACAGATTTTACTGTTAAATTGCTTGTTTTATTTCGGTATTAAACTAAAAGAGATACATTTTTGGCATTATGACTCCCTCTGTAAGTGTACCCTTGAAAAGACTTGTATTCTATATAATTATAGTACATACCTGGAGATCTTTATATTTCAGGGAGGACAGTGTCGTCTTTTCTTTCTTTCTTCCCCCCTTTAAAGTAAACGTTGCTTCATTAATTGTTCAAATTAACCTTTGATTTGAAAAATCATCAAAGGTTATTTATCTTCATTACTCAGCTTTAAGTATTTTATTCAAATATTAATATTTTCTCTTAAAATTGGATCTTTATAATTTTTTTAATTTACTAAATTTGTAACTATAATAAATGAAATGCACATCATGCTATATCTGTAACTCTAATAAGATATTTTTCTTAGCCTCGAAATGATTTGGAGCCATTTGGAGACATTTTGCATGAATATAAAGGTATTCTAGCTGCATGGCCTGAAATAGTGCAGATACAAAAAGTAAGACACTTTTTTGGTCATTAAAATATTTATGTTATATGCTTCCTAGTTCCATATGAAGCTTTTATATTTCTTTCAGTTTATTAAATATTTTGTTTTATGCCTGTAAATGAATACCATACTGAAATTAGCAAAGCCTGCTTTTTTATATACTTTCAATAAATACATAGGGAGCTGTACAGAAGAAAAAAGAGCACCAGAAGTTAATGGAAGAAGGAAAACTATCTCAGGAGAATGTTGCTGCTATAGCACGTCGAACTGACATCATATCATATGCTGTAATGGCTGAAATCACTCATTTCCAACAAGAACAAGTGGGAGAATTTAAAAATATGATTCAAGGTTTTCTTCAAGCACAAGTCAAGTTTTATTTAAAGGTGAGCATTGTTATTATCAATTGTTTATGTATATGGAATGCTAATGTAATTTGTTAAATTATTTGAAAAATGATTTCTGATCAGTGAAGATTAAACTTTGAAAAACTAAAGGTTTCACTGAATTAAAATTGTACTTCCATGTAGAAATATTACTGTAAAAAACATGTGATACCAGTAAAGTACCAGTAAGCAAATACCTTTAAAAACTTTAAAAAAAAAATAAATAAATAAACTTTCTCTTTCCCCTTGAAAAATAAAGAATTGTTTGGAAAGAAGTTAAGAGAATTTAAAATTATAAATTTGGTTTTGTATCAAAAGCAGTGACATAAAATTGAATTATATTTAACTTAAAGCAAACTGGGTGCAAGTCAATATCCTAAAATGACTTTGTTTTTGGCGAGGTTTAAAAAAAATGTGTAATGAAGAAGAAAGTATAACAGCTGAAAAATGTACTAAATAACTTCATGAAAAAATTGCAACTAAGTGGTAAATAAAAATGCAACCCTTCTGTTATTGGTCTGTATCAAGAAAATCTTTATATTCAATACATGCAAGTTTTTCCTATCACTGTATCCTTGACTTTGATGCAGCTTACCTGTATAATTTTAATTCTGCCACATTTTAACTTTTTGTAACATTTAAATCCCTTTGCATTCTTTTAAGACTATGCAGTTGGAAAATTATGTTATTACCTGATTGTAATGTACCTGAGGCATCTATTATTGTAGACATGTCCAGTGCAGCATCTGGCTTTTTTTCTGCCTATTTGTTCTTAACAGGCATAAAAAAATTGTTAGATGGCACAGATATGGATCTGTACACTCGTGATATTACTGTTGATTCATGATTCCATGATTATTGTGCATATCAGTTAGATTGACCTGATGTTTGGAAATTGAGTTCTTTTGAATATCATAAGGTTTGGTGATTAAATGTTACCAGTCATTCCTTTCATTGCATGGAATTCCTTACATAAACTAACATATCACATTATTCTCCATTTTGTGATATTTCTATACTTAAATTTAGTTCTTTCTCAATTCTCAAACAATTATCATGTCTTTCAGGGTTGCCATGTTACCTAGAAAACTGGGAAACGTCAGAGAATTCGAAAATTGAGCAAAAAAATTTAGGGAATTTAATTGTTTGATCCAAAATCAGAAAAGTCGGCAAATTTCATATGCCGATCCCCCCCCCAAAAAAATTATTGCACCAACTTTGGAAGCAAATTATGTGTTACATGAGCTTCATTCCAGCAACTGGCATAGAGCCAATTTTTGCAGCTCTGATCCGATTTTCTTTCAGAAAGGCAAAGTAGGTTTCCATTATTGTTGCTTATTAGCAACCTCCAGAATGCAGAAAGTGTGATTCACATGTTCTTGTGAAGGACAAGAAATCTGTGCATGTTGAACAAAAGAAAATTCTGCTCATTTGGTTTAGAGTTTTTTTATTTTATTTTATTTTTATTTTTTTTTTTAATTTTATTTATTTATTTTTTTTTTTTTTTTTTTTTTTTTTTTTTTTTGTGTGTGTGTGTGTGTGTGTGTGTGTGTCATCTCCAGTTAACACATCTGGTAAGAGGAACTTTGTAATCTTTTACACAATATTAAATAATTGTTTTAAATGTATGTTTACTTAATATTCTATCATATTTGCTTGTTAAATTGATAAGAATTCATGGAATCCATTTTTAAAGTTAAATCTGTTGATGATTTTGAATCATATTATTATGCCTTACTAAAAAAATCAATTTGAACTGCTAAGCTTTTCAGCATTGTTAGCTGTGTGGATACATTATCATTGTTGTACCTCGAAATTATGCAAGAAATGTGATACTTTGGTATCTGTTGAAATATTTAATTATTCTGATCTTGATTTTTGTGGTTTTGATTTTTAGATAACTTGCATTTTAAATATTTTCAAGAAACAAACGGGGGTGAAACTCATGACTGAATTCAGTCTCAAATGCATTAAATTTAATGATGTTTGCCCCCCCCTTTTATGCGTATTGTATAATAAATATAATTAATCAATCCTTCTGCTCCCTGAAATTTCTGATTTTGTTCAGCCCTTTCCCTATTTTCATTCAAAACAAAATCTTTTAAACCTTTTTTTTTTTTTTTTTTTAATAAATGCCGTGTTTGTTATCCTGCAGTAACAATTTAAGAAATAATAATAATCAGTCATCTAGGTTAACCATTTAATATAAATATATTCATCATAAATAAATATAAAATACTTAAATTTATTTAAAATTTTTCTTAAATTAATTTCTTTCTTTGCTTTAGCTGTGAAATGTCTGCAAAGAAAGACATTTTTTAATCCAGTTTGAATAGATTCTAATCTCAATCCTCAGTGGAAGCCATGGTTCCAAATTACTGAGCTTCTAACATGGCAAGATTAAGGAGCTTCTAACATGGCAAGATGTAGGTTTTGCCAAACAAATATAATGCTTAGTAACCTGAGAAGGAAAGCAATTACAAGCCACATAAACAATGTAAAGCATATGAAAATCATTTCTGAAGAACTCACATTTTTTTTTTAATTTTGTGTACAGATAAAAACAGCCTTGAAGCGTAGCAGTCTCTGGCACCAGTTACTGAATCATCAAGTTTAAACTCTTTCATACCTAGAACAAAGTGTTAGCTGCAAAATTACTGTGGGCTATGAAACTTGTTTGTTCACGTTTTCTTTTAATGTGTTTAATGATGCTGCTGTTCTGTTTCAGAAAAAGTTTTATGACAGCGATAAAGCTGCGACCCTGGGATGCATAAAAAATGTCATATTTAGTGTTATTTCTTTTTGCTCCATACTTAAAGAGATGCTCATTTCTGACCTTAAGAACACCGAATTTGTAATATGTATCAATGAAGTTTAAAATGGAATTGTCCAGAGATGTCAAATGGACCTTTTTGTTAGATTTGGAACTGTGTGAAAATGAAGTGAGCACAAGCTACCTCACATAAATTTTTGGGAGGCGTGCTCCAAAAATTTATGTGACTCCAGCTATCCTTGGATACTGTCCTCCAACTAAATTACTCCAACTATCCTCAGATGGACCAAATGGCAAACTTAAATTCCTCTGAGATTTGAAGGAAAATTTAGCAAATAATAATGACAGTCAGATATTGGATCCTGTGATTTGCATGGCATTCATGGTGCGTAGAGTGTTACTGACTGGAATCTAAGCACATTATTTAAAGACCTGCATAGCATATTTAAAGATAGTCCTGCTCAGTGAGCAGATTATATTGCCATCACTAATTGTGACTTTTCCACTATCATTTTCTGAAGTAAGATGATGTGAAAACGTACCTGTTTCCGAGAGAGCTATTGATATTTTTCCTCATGTGAAAAAAATATATAGAATCATCTGAATTGCCAAGAATTGTCAGTTGAAAGACAGAGAGAAACTTAAAGATAAGCTTCTTTTGAGAAAAATCTCTATTTCTGTTTTGGGAGTTCTACATGTATTTCTAAATTCATTTCAGACAACTGATCCAATGTGCCCCTTTCTGTACATAACTTGCCATAGTTTACTAAACCAGCTTCTCTCAAAAATTTTCAGAAAAGATTTACTATGAGAGGCAAAAACATCTGAAAAATTGATAAAAATATATATTCTAGATCTAACAGTATTGTAATGTAACAGATATTGATGTGGGTGTTGCCATTCATGTGAGTTTAGCTAACAGTGGAATGCCTGACATGAAGAAAAGAGGATTCGGGACTTTGTGCAGAATCTTTTGAGTTTGCCATCAAAAATAGTTAAAAGAAACCCATTTAAGCTTGGTCAAATACATTTCTTCGTTAGATCCTAAGCTCATTACTTTATGGTGTGAGAGTTATGGTCAGTAAATATTCTTAGAACACGACTCCACATTGCTAAAACGCAACTTTTATTAACATAACTATTCATTCAAACGGAAGAACTTCTACACAAATATTTGAACATCCTTGCACTCGAGCTAAGGGCAATGTGTGTAAGTTCACTGGTTACGCTGGCAGTTATTACGAAAACAATATAATGTCATCTTGCGGCATGCAGTCGAACATAAGACTGCCACATACTTTAAAATGTATGGGCAAAAACAAGAAATACAAAATATATGAATACAAGTAATAATACCTTTAAATTCTAATTGAAATATATAATAATACAATTGCTATCTTAATTAAATAATGAAAAGTTAATACAATAAGAATTTTAAGCAACTGCCAATACGTATGCAAAAGAAATTAATGAAGTATTTAAATACTATAGCTTTTGAAGCAGACCACAAGCGAAAAACTTTAATTATATTAGTGATCAGATTTTCAGGAAAATGAACAGGACATCCACTGTGAGTTATCACTTGTTTTAGAACAATGTTTGACTCTTCACAGACTTTCTGATGTGGAATCTGAAGAATTATAGGTGAATCTATGTATTCCAACAACATATATGCTCGTTTTAAGCCATCAATTGAAATTGTAAGGCTTTTGTTACCTCAAAAATAAAATTTTTATTCTTTCGTTTAACAGCAGCATGAGAACCAGTGTAAGGTGGAGTTACAGGAGGTTTAACAGAATTGATCCTTTGAAATACATGAGAACAGGTTTGAAGTGTTGGATGTACATAAATTGATGGTTGAACATGGTTAGAGGTTGGAATCGATCTAACTGAATGCATGACTGATCGAAGCTGTGACACATAAGATTCAGAAAAAGGTACGAAATCAGCATATCTGAGGGTTAGCTATCCAGTTATGTGCTATGTTTGCAAGTGGTTTCAGCTGACATGTTGGCAGTAGATATAACTTCTGGCCATCTGGTAAACCTGTCAATAATTGTCATGCAATAACGGTTACCTTCAGACGGTGGAACAGGACCTATAAAATCAGTATGGATATGTGAAAATCTTGCATCAGGCAAAGAAAAGGTACCCAACGGTGATTTCGAATGTCTATGAATTTTAGAATGTTGACATTGCGGACAGTATTGAACTGCAGTTTTAATAAATTTCTTCATATTAGACCAAAAGTATTGCTTAGTGATTAATTTTG